TATATATATATAAAATTAAATTCCATCAAGTATTTATTGAAATATTTTGGTTACAGACATAAAAGCCAAAATCGTCCACTTTTGTACTTTGGCAGCCACAGAGTTCTACATGTAGCAGACCAACAACATTTTTGTCATAAAAATCATGAAAATAAGAGTCACTCTAAACATTAACCTTGCTTTAAATCACTGCAATATGTTTGTGCATTTCTGAATTTACTTAAATCATTTTTGGACCTTGTGTATCCATTTGTTTTCTGAGTTAGAGGCTGGCATACGTTAATAATTTTCAGCTTTAAAAAGTCAAATCTCTTCAGACTCTAACATTTTTTTCTCTGCTTATTGGTAGATTAACAGGTTTCCAGTGATAAATTTAAGATGTCAGTGAGAGAAAAGTCAGTGAAAAACARAGCATTTGGCTTACACTCTAACTAAACATGGGCTGTTAATAGCAGATGCTTTTGTTTTATGGGGTCATAAGATGAAAACGTTGGCAATCACTGAATCAAACTAATCCAGCTGCATCACACCACTATGATTACAGTATGTGCTGCTGCTGTGAAAAATACAGCTCTGTCTCTCTGGGGTTCCTGCTGTTGTCTGGGAGATTCTGGCTCCAGAGTGCTGCAATTCTCACACGCTAATCAAACTGCTTTATAGGTTTTCAATAGCTACTCAGAATTATGGTGATTTGGAAAAAGTTTTTGATCTTCTAAACAAGTAAAGACTTCTCTGGAATGCTCTGCTTTGCCCTTTGAGCGTTCCTGATGGATATTTGAATAAATCAACATGAGCTATAAATATATTGTAATCCATATGTGTGCCCTTTTAGTGCCAAAGCCAATAAAATTCAATAAAGACTTCTAAGCCAGATCCATAGGCAAATTGATGGCTTCGTATAGGAGATGAAAAAACAAGTCCCAGACTAAAACCCGGTCCATGTGAGAGCATCAAACACGCTTCGTGGCACTGACTTGTGACCCCATTAATGAACTCTCTGAGGGCTTGGTGGAATTAGAAAGCCATAGGACTGAAGTTTCTCTCTGACTCTTGGAGCAGAGGAGTCAAGTCACTCCCTGAAACAGTGAAAATTTCTAAAGCCACAGCCTCACGGGAGAGATTCAGGGCCTCCAATTTCTCTTTCTTGTATAGCTCTGACGTTTGCTTTGTATTTAACTACACCACAAAGCCCTTCAGGGGACACAAAGACTCCAATTATTAAATGGGAAAGGAAACCGAAAAGTTGTTTTCTTTTAGCCACACTTAAAGTGATAACCAGGATCTTTTGAAGTGGGGTTCTGTGGACAGGTATATTAGCTCTCAGTTTGGAGGACATTTTTTTATGACCAGACTCACTAGCTAACGGCTAGTCCAAGTGGTGCTAAAAACCATAATTGATTGCTGCTGTCCTAAAACAACTTTAATCTTAAAAAAATACAGCAACATATGCAAACTTTAAAAACCTTTACAYTGCAGTCTGTTTGCATTACACTATTATTTACACAGAATCCTAATCCTATTGTGTGCCGTTGTGTCCACTAACCAGTTGGTACATTAGTTAGTTTTTATCCATTTTCCTCTAGAGGAGGAAAGGTGACAGCTGTGGATCATAGCTATACAGGGAAAACTTAGCTATAAGCTCACGCTTGCGTTTGTAATCGGCATTTCTAACCTGAGGATATTCAAGAGCCAGCATCAGAAATGAGAAGACGAAGGTAACACAAGGGAAATGTACATTTATCACCTTTTACTGCCAAGACGAGAGAGGAAAGACCACCTCTACACGACAGCTAGCAGGAAGCTAACACAGCAGCCGGTACAGGTAGGTGTGTGTGTGCGTGCACGTTTGTGTTATACAGAGTATGAAATGTTTTTAGGCAACTTTGTCATGAGTTTTATGCAAAAGTAAAACCTTGTTAGAGTGTATGTTACAGCGTAAACAAAACACGAGTGATGAGCCTCCCCCTCCCCCTGAGTACCGAGAGCAGCAGAACCTCCGCCTGATAATCATTATGTTTTCAGTTCACTAACATGGGGGAAAACGATCCAAACCTTACAAGTAGCCCATCAATTTAAAGCCCAGACTCTGCTTTTTCCAACAATATAAGTGTCACAGCTCTACGTGAAAAATTCACTGAACAAGCAGCCACGGAAAAGCAAAAAAGGCTAATTTCTGGAACCATAAACACGAACGTCTTTCCTTTGTTTTTATGGCTTTAATCCACTTTGGAGTGATTTTTTTTCCACTTGGCTGGACCTGTACGTCTCCTGTGTTAATGTTGGTACATGTGATATGCTAATTCTGTACTGTGGAGTTGTCGGATTGTCGAGTCGTTGTCGGGTGAAAAAAATCTTTCGCTAACACTGTGTTGACCGTGAACTGGAAGTGATCGGAGTGGCACCAAGTGCTGGGCTGGATGTCCGTGGCATATAGGCTGTTAGACAAAGAGGAGTGCGGGTCTGTTTTTATAGGAGTGTCAGTAGGGACTGTCAACAGCTTGCTCTGATACAACCCATGTTTACAACTAAAACTTACAAAAGTATAGACGTAAGTGAGAATTCAAACTTGTGACTAAATATGTCAAGATGTTTAAACCTGTATTTATATAATTCTTTACAATTATTTTATTTCTCTGAGGTCCTCTGTTAATGTTATATTTGATTACCAGTTGGAGATTATAACTGAAAAGTGTATTTCAAATCGTTAGTTTTTAATATGCAGACTCATTTTGGTCAGAATTTGAGACAGGAGGGTGCTAGTCACACCATATTTGGAGTCAATAAATTATATTTACAAGTTCACAATGATTTTACTAATTACATCTTTTACCTTCCCCCACATGGCAATCTGACCAATAATAGTTTACCTAAACTATGCCCACACCCAAGAAACTCCCACTTAGTGACTGCAGAGACCTCCTTCTCAWCGTGGAGGGGCTCCTTTATGTTTCTGGATGAAATTCAACAATAATAAGTGCAGCCTGTAGCACTTCCATCAGGAATATATTAATTCTGACAGAATAACCACACAATTCAAAACTGTCTGTAATGTAAAGTGTTGTAAGATAGGAGAATTAAACTCTTATTTTAACAAACGGAGGTCATTCAAAGAGCTTTCTACAACAGGTAAGATGCTCATAGTTCACAATCTCAGTTCTTATGATCTGAACTCTTCCTTTAAAGGCAGGGTATTATGTATTTTTGAGGCACGTAGTTCAATTTTGTACCAAAATTCAGTTGTTTTTATAAGTGATGTATAAATCAAAAATAAATTTGACTTTGAATCATAGCCGATCTAAATGCCTTGAAATTGGCCTCTGTCTCTTTAAGAACATCCCACCGTTTCTGACGCTGCCAGTTCAGCACATTTTCAAACAATGCTTCGGGGAGGGGTGCTCTGTGGTGCGAGAACTCGGCTGCAGGCTGAGCTCCAGGGAGGAGCTTTGTGGAAATAGGCGGTGCTTTGTACCAGCAAGCATTTAGGCAGCTCCGCATGGCGACCAGAGGAGATTCAAGGGTTTCTGAAGCATACACGAATGAGTCAAAGCAACACTCTAGGTATGTTTTTGATGATGTAATCCCATTACAGCATGATATAAGACTAAAAAAGTCAATTTTGCATAATACCCGATTTAAAATTACAAATAAAAACTCCTCAGATCTTTTTTTTTTTTACCTCTAATATCTTCAAGTTAGGGTTGTACTGAAACAAAATGATCCACATTTTGTAAAGCGATCTTATGATTAGCTTTAATA